ACAGGCTGTTGGAAGGCTGTGAATTGGTCTGAGTACTTGCGAACTTTTGGCATGCCCCCAGTTTAGAGAGGGCACACCACCTAGATCTTTCATGCATAGTTAACGGTTAGCAAAGCATTAGAGAGAGAGATTTTGCTAGCCTTATGTTTGCAAGTGATGTTGTACATGCTTTGATTGTATATATTTTATATTTCTGTGTAACTCCAGTAAAGGCAGAGGATTGTACATACAGCTGTCTCTGTGCCCCAAATAAAAAGAGTGGAAATCTCTTTTTTTGACTCTTGTAAGTCTAGGCAGCTGAGGTCAAAGTTTTTCAAAGTGAATGGTGAGCAAATTCTTGACTAGAGAAATTATGGTAGGAATACGAAAGTTAAGTCTGATTATCCACCAGGAAAAAACTCATGTTGTATAAGGAAGACTTAAAAATGTGTATGAATATAAACATTTAAATAATATACACTGCAGCAAAACATATTGTGTAGTAACATAATGGTTGTGTGTAGCAATCTAAGCAGGAAAGATACTGGAGGGGGGAAATTGCAGTTAATCTTGTTGATAGAGGCTTACCAGCAATAAGCTCTTTTAACTTTATTACTGGAACTTTCATAAATTTTTTGGAAATCACCTAAGCACATGGAGCAGAAGGAAACAATGCATTGCGTTTTAAAATCACAATGGTTAAAATCTTTGTCCTAGTAACTTCAAGGATTTAAGTTTTCATCTAATACACAATCTGATTCTGCAAATAACACTGTGAAATGACATCTTTGTGAGGAGCAAGATGCAGAGTCAGGCCTGTGAAAGGTTCATGTGTGTCCTTCAGACCACCTGGGTAGTACTGCAATATAACTCTTAAATGAAAAGTGTGCACTAGAGCTTGATTCAGTTAATGTGTGATCGTAAGAGACTGAAAGGAACAAATGGAGCTGTGATCTTGAAGGTACTGAACTGCTGGAGTGCATTCCAGCCATCCTCATGCAGGGCCATAAAATATCAGCTGCCTCACCTTTTGCATGGGTGGCATTGAGTGACTCTAAAAGATCAGTTTACATGTAGACAAACATTTAGGTACCAAAATTCATTAGGAAAAGAGTCAGTGTTTCCTCTTGTACACATTGCCCTGTTGTATAAAGTGGTTATTTTTGTAGAACCTAGAAAATCGTGTGTAACCCATTGCAGGCTGGTTGTGAAAGCAACAGGTAATCTGAGTATTTGCATTTGCTAAAGAACATCCTGCTTTTGTAAGAACCATTGAAATCTCAATGGGAGGAAAAATTTCTTCAGCTCTAGGGTTGATCTGTGTATCAGAAGTTACATCTTAGTACTTGTAATTTCACAGTGGTTGACCATCAGGTTAAAAATAGTCTCGTTGACCACACACAGAGTAACATTTTTGAAATTAAAATTTAGCTGTGCCGATAGCTACAGAATTATTTGTTAATGTCAGTGCTTATAGACACCAGCAGTTAGGGAGTGGATCAAGGTGTTGCATAAATCAGTCCTATGGAAAAGACATACTTAAAAATAATTGTTATGAGTAGTATTTCCCAAACACTAGCTTATGCTAGTGGTTGACAATTAATCTTTTGCTTCATAAAGATCTGTACGTTTTCAGGGGAAAAGTGAAATAGTCTTGTTATCTTTTCTTTCTTTTCCTTTTTTTTTTTCCTTCTTTTCAGAAAGCACTTGGCTTATTGAAGCAATGGCAAAATCGTCTCAGCTGGTAAACTGCAATGAAGTGTGTCTTAATCGGCTTCTAGATTTTTTCCTTGCTTTTGCTGTAAGGACAATGAAATTTTTGGAGAGGAGAAAAACAGTATCTATATTCTACAGATTTCTAAGCATAGTTAAATCATACATTGTAGCAGTCAAGTCCAATAGAGATAAAACAAAAAAACAGCATGGAAATTAAACACTAAGAAAAGACTTCCATAGTTGGGAATGCAATACATCCTTTTATTGTAGCATTTGCATTTTTTAACACATGCATACTTTGCTGTGAATTAACAGCTCTAGTTGGGGTTTTTTTTGAGGTTTCTTTTTTAAAGCATAAACACCAAAGTGTAGATTTCCAATGCTCATATCAAAATTCATTGTCACTTGGTAGCTTGGTGCTAGGCTAGTACATTTTATCTGGAGTCATCTTTGGAGAGAAACACTGCATATGAGACATTTGCGTACTGCAAGAACACCAGATGCACCTATGGGTATTTGGGGGGAGTGTTTGGGGTTTTTTTAAGTGTAACCATGCAGTTGTGTAATTCAGAGAACATGCTGTGATGAACTACTCTAGTTTTGGTGCTGTAATGACTTTAAATGCTGTTTGCCGCTCTTCGTCATTGACTTCCCATCTGTGACTGCTGGACATGGCATATAGAATGGTTTGAGTTGGAAGGGACCCTTAAAGATCATTCAATTCCAACCCCCCTGCCATGGGCAGGAACACCTTCCACCAGACCAGGTTGCTCCAAGCCCCATCCAGCCTGGCCTTGAACACTTCCAGGGATGGGGCATCCACAGCTGCTCTGGGCAACCCGTGCCACTGTCTCGCCACCCTCATCATAAAAAATTTCTTCCTTATACCCGGTCTAAACCCCACTGTCTTTCAGTTTCCAACTGTTGCCCCTTGTTGTGTCACTACAGGCCCTGGTAAAAAGTCTCCCTCCATCATTTTTATAAGGCCCCTTTATATACTGAAAGGCCTCAATATGGTCTGTTGGGAGCCTTCTCTTCTCCAGGCTGAACAACCCCAACTCTCTCAGCCTGTCCTCATAGGAGAGGTGTTCCAGCCCTTTGACCATTTTTGTGGCCTCCTCTGGACTTGCTCCAACAGGTCCATGGCCTTCTTGTACTGGGCACCCCAGAGCTGGATGTGGTACTCCAGGTGGGATCTCACTGTATAAATCAGTCCAGCTTGTTGGGGAAGACCCTCTTGTCCCACTTGGTCAGGTGAATCTCATCAGCTCCCAGCAGACCTGGCTTCTCAAAGGTAGATCTGTGATTGATGAAGCCAAAGCATAAGTATTCACACACCAGTACATGAACAGTATTTGGCATCATGCTCAGTACTCTGAAATGAGTTACATTTTTTGGTAATATGAACTACATTTTTTTTGTAGGGAAAAGGAGTTCAGGCAGTGCAGAAGCAGTGCAGCAGTTGCATTGTAGTTGTGAGAGAGCACGTGAATTAGTTGGACAGATTGTGAGCTAAGGCCTGTTGCGTGTAATCTGTACTCCTGGTGTAGCTCAGTTAGGTGTTCGTAGAATCATATCTTTCTTTTGAATTGCTGAGATGCATCATGTGAGATTACTTGCATGGGGAAATGTTGCATTATCAAGACACCCTCTTTTTCCGCTTAGTTGTGAATAGACACAGTAGCTTTTGTCTCACACATTATCTGCTTGCCCATATATTGATTTGTGTCCTCTAATTAAAAGAAAAATGTTAACTGTTACTGGTTAAAAACAAAAGCTTACAGATGAAACTGTTGTTGTTTTTTTTTATGGTACATCCACAAAATCATGACCTTTTCCTGGATCCTTCTTGCTTGTTCAGCACATCGCAATTGAACAAGGGCAGTGTTGGTTGCTTTCACAAATGTTAAGACTCCAGCATGTGATTAATGGAGAATTTGTAGATATTTATTATCATACTGCAAACATGTTCATAGCATTTCATCTTTGTTACAGTAAGGATGGCAACTTATTCTAAAATATCTTTTAACTTTTTTTTTCCTAGTCTGTAGTTTTGTTGTGGGTGGGTGTTTGTGGTGGTTTTGTTTGTTTGTTTGTTTTTTAAAAAAAGCTTGATCTGTATTGACCAAAGTATAATTGATAGCTGAAAAAGGTCAAGCAAATATCAGGTAAAGATTTGGAGTATAATCAACCAACCTCAGTCTCTTTGAGAGATGTTTGTCATAGTAGAGTAGGTAAGGAGTTCACCAAGAGAAATAATACCCTGTTCTTAGGATTTACTGCCTTGTTAGTTCTTTCTAGCAGGGAAGTAATTCCATAAAATGTCTGCTAGAAAAGTAGCATGCCCATGCTTGCTGTCCTTCAGAAAAATTCTGAGTCAGCAGGATGGGAACCAGATGGATGGGAAAAGTGGAAGCAGAATGACAGAAAACAATAAAAAAGTGCAGATGTGCAGAGAGAGAGATCTTAAGAACTAAAGCATAAAGGAGAATATGATTCAAAATGTATTACGGAGAGGACATACATATTTTTGGCTTAAAAAATATATATGGAAAAAAAAGTTACTATTCCCTAAGCCCAAGTGACCTCATTTTAAACTTGCTTTCTTTTTGTTCCCAAGAGGACACATGCCCAGACCTCTGTAGGAAATCTGGCTGCCAGCTGGCACAGCACCTTTCAAAGAGACCTAATTTTATATTTGCAGAACCTGGCAGTATCAGCCACCTCCATCTGTAATAGGCTGCTGTTTGTAATATCTGTTAAACTGCATTTTAACGTTTAATTTTAAGTTTCTTTGCCAACCTGTTAACAAGGGCCAGGCTATTGAGAGCTGGCAATAAGTCCAAAAAAGGTGTTCTAATTTTATGAGGTCTGTGGATTCCTGCTTTTGTTTTTCATGAATTTACATCTTTTGGCGGGCTCCAGGATATTAACTTGTATGATGAAATATCATCTTCCCATATTTTAAGTCTATATTGAGAGGAGGCTGGAATAAATCCTTTATAATGATAGTAGAAATCTGCCGTATTAAATTCAGTGTTAAAATTGGAGGCAAAGTTACTTTGAGTACTGGCTTTAATTTTTCTGGGATAGAAATCAGAAACTATTGAGCACATCGTCATATTATATAATGATTTGTCCAGCTGAATAGAATTTAACGTGGGCAGCGATGGAACAGATTCAGTTCTCTTGCTTTGGCTCTACCTGTTGCAACAAAATTTTCAAGCGGTCTCTGGCCAGCTTAGGGAGGGTCCCTGGGGAGCTCTCTTAGTAGCAGGCAGAGCTGCTCTTGCAGAGGTCGGGTGATGACAGGCGGCCTATTTGTGTTAATTCAATACGAGGAAGAAGGCCACATGAGATCTGGAAGAGGCAAAATGACCACTGCCATGTGGCAGCCACTGGTTCAGCGTGGGTCTGCTTCACTTTGTGATAACTGTAGCTCCTAGCTTTCACTGATTTCAATCTGTCTTAAACCTTGACAGAGTCAATTAGTCCTTGTAAACACTAGTAACCAATTTTTGATACGTTAAATCTGAGGAAAAATATTTATTTGTTTTGGATATAGTTCTAGAATACTTTGTAAAATTATTTGCGTTAGAAGAGAAAATGCAAATATTTATGTACAGTAGCAGTGAAATACTGCACCTAAAGCTTAATTGAGAGGGATTCTGTGGTGTACAGCTGTAATGTTGAGGTTTGTCATTTAAATGAAAATTATTAGTGTTTCTTTGAATTCCTGTTAATATATTTTCTGATGTGGGGTTTTTTGTTTTTGTTTTTTTTTCCCAGCTCTTCGTTGTAGTCTCCAGTTTCTTGGAAACATTGCAGCAGGAAATGGAGATTCCCAGAATAGCATTTGGAAGTGTGCTTTCCCAGATCTCTTCTTGTAAGCATGGATGCAGGTTTTTTTCTAATGTAGTTTCTGTGGTCATATTCAAATCTTTTGTACATGGTAGTTGTGCTTCTACTAGCGCCATGAAGCTTTGAAAAATAACTTTGGTGAGAAATGGGATGGTTAAGACCATATCCTGTAGATGGTTTTTTTTATTAGTCAACTGCAGGGGTCAGGACCTTTAAAAACCTGTTTGTTCTAAACTAATAGTAAATGGATTTAATTTAACAGAAACTGGAAGAAAACTGTATTTCAAATTATGAGCTTCAAACGTAAGCTTTATTTCAGAGCTGTTCTCAAGTAGTTATACTCATTTCCGAGAACATAGCTTTTTCTTTATTCACTTTGCTGCCGTGGAGACTTGTCAGTATTTGTGGATCAGATGGAATCTACAAAAGTGACTTAATCTTTGAGACTTCCAACCCTTTAGTCCCCCTCCTAACCTCACCAGAATATCTTCCTGGATATTTGATGACATATGTGTAATGAAATAATACATAAATGATTTTGTGCAGACGCATGACAATATTGTTGATGTGTCTGGCCAAATGTTTTGTAATGAGCTAGTAACAAAGGCACATTCATTCAATTTGATGATCATTCTTAGTGTGGTTTTGGAGCCTGCTTGTCAGCACTGGATGTAGAAAGACCTTATGATAGTAGAAGCAGATGATTATTATGGTTTCACCCAATTTCTAGATCTCCAGTTAGCTCCAACTTAGCACTAGTTTTGTAATTGCCTGTGAAGTTTGACCATCAGCTAGGAGTTAGATGTTTTTCTTCGCAGATGACTTCTGTCCCTCTTAGGCAATGACAATTCATGATTCTCTAAAATAGACAGCAAAGAAGAACAACTCAATGAACTGAATGCCACTAGTCTGTTTTTCCAGGACCAGTTTTAGCTTACTCTCTTAACTCCTTATTTTCTCTTGAAGGACATGCCTAACCTACAGTGATGACAAAATTGTTGCCTATTGTTGTATGGTCCTGTTCACCTGCCTTAATTCAGAGAAAGTGAGAGAACTACTGGATCCTGGGAACTTGACTGTGGCTCTTCATGTCCTGAAAGTCTACAAAGAGCAGTTGGAGTCTGAGTGGTCGTATGTATCTTTACATTTTTTTTTTTTCTCCCTTCTTAATTAGGTATTTTTCTAGTTTAAATCTCTGTATTAAAATGTCTAAATTTGTGACGCTGCTAAGTGGTAAATGAAGATCTATTTAGAAGTTAGTAATTTGGTATAGAGATAATTTTCATGATACTTTCACTGACTGTTCTGGTTGCTGCTAAAATAAGACTGGTTTTGTTGAGGATATAGACAAATTTTAAAATCATGGTCTGTTTTGGGTTGGTTGTTTTTTTTTTTTAATGAAACGGGGTTCTAGAATGCAAACTAATTTATACTTGTATCTTGGTTTGTGGAGACTTTATTTCAAAAGTTAACATAGAATATAGTCTTACAGACCAGTTATTGGGTCATACTAGGAACACTTGTATGACTAATGCTTGCGAGTACTACATAAATCATGGGCTGTTTTTTTTTTTTAACAGATCTGTTGTTTAGTGCAGCATGCAATCATTTTTATACCAAAACAAAGAAGAACAAAAAAGTTCATTTTGTTTATGAACCTTACACGTTTCATTTTCATTCTTTAAGAACACCTAATCAGTGGCTTTATTCCATTGAGCTTTTATATTTTTATTTTTTTGCTAATGGCCATTCTTGTAAATATTGTTATCCATTATGCATTTGAGAAATGTTCTGCCCTGCATCAGCAAGGATACATATTCAGTTAATTGTTATATGATGCATTCCTAAGGGGGAAAAAAAGGATCATCTGTATGTTTTTGTAGCGTTCTTTTGAAAGTCATGTTTAAATTCAAAATTTAATTCAGAAGAATTGTTGGGGTTTTACTAGTTATTTGGAAAGTCTAAACAGAGTTAAGATGATTGAATGAAAAGCAAATGTCATTTAATAGTTTTGCTTTTATACTGAAAAAATGACTTGAAAATTTGTTTGTGGCTGGGGTTTTTTCATCACCAGGTCAATTTGCTTTGGACATAAATAGTTTTCAGAAAGCAAACTTAAAGTTTCAGGGTCAGACGACCAGACTTCTATTTCAAAAGTGACAAACTGAGTCTTTAGTTTTGGCGTCGGTCAATATAAACACATGTGAAAGACTGCTTTTCAGATAATTATCTTGATTATCCTTCATTATCTTTATGCACTGAAGATACACTGAAATGAATTTTGACTGAGATATGAAAGCCAGGGAGAGCTGGAAGACGTTATCATCGTGTTAAATTTATATTTTGAAGATAATTGCAGAATAAATACAGCATCAAAATAAATGCCAAGGTATCCGTTTCCCTGATCTTTCTAGTCTGAAGTGCATTCTGTTGGTGTTATGATGAAAATGTCTTACCTCCACTATGGATGTTTGATATCAGTGGGAAATGGTCTCTCTTCAGAGCATTCTAGAAATTAAGAAGGGGCAAACTTCTATAGAAGATAGAAGAGCATGATGGAGGAAGAGAGATGAGTGGAAAAGAGTAATCCTAGTCCTACCATAAGGCAGTTGCAGAATGTTTGCCCTCTAATTCCTGTCAGAAGGCTGAGTTCCCCATGCAGGGAATATACAAAAAAGCACTGGAATATCATCCAGGCATTAAGAAAATCATGGATCTGGTTTTCTTTCATAGTACTTTAACATTGCCTGGTTATATCTCAAAGCTCATCACCAGTTTTCCCAACTGAAAGAAAAGGTAATGAGTTTGTAGTATAAGTTTCTTGGCATTTTATACAGTTGTCTTGAACTGAATTACAAATGGAAATCTTTCAATAATGTTGGCACTGTTTTTAAGTCAGCACAGGTAAAGCGCATTCACAAGTGCAATATCTAAACGAAAAAGTGTATTGCAACAGTGCAGTATCAAGCATTGAATAGCTGTTCGAACAGCATTACCTTGAAACTGAAAAAGATAATTCCTTGATAGAAAGGGGCTGATTTTCCTATCTCTTTGTAGCTCTAGAGCCTTTTTGTGATTCATCTTGTGCCTATTTCCCACCATTTTGGAATCCTCACTTCATTTGTTCTTCCAATACTCCCATTTCTTGTTTTCCATCTGAAGAAACAGTTTACTCTCTGATTCTCTCTTGTGTTCATCTGTTCTTATTGTGAGCTAATATTTGTCATGACTGAGGGTAAATTAAATGGCAAAATATGTTCTGTCTTCCTATTAGATTTTTTTTTTTTGAAGCGAGTTCCATCCTGAAAGAAACTATGATATTTATGTATTAGAATACATGTAGTATCTTTGGTCTAGTTGGTGCAGAGGAGGAGGTAAGAAAGTAACATTTTCACATTGTTTTTTATTTAATAAAGAAAAAAAGGTTGATGTACAAGTTTTATTTTTCATATTTTCAATGGAAATCTGCTAGTGTGTACCATTCCTTATACAACAGTGATTTAAACAAAGTCTTTTTCTTCCTGGTTATGATTTTTTTTTTTCTTTTCTTCCCTCTTCCAGTTAGCCATAGATCAGTGTGTTACACTAAAGTAATGCTTTTATCTTAGACCGTATATGCATCTTGTGAGCCTGTACTGCATGGTGTATTTCTGTGGAGTGAAAGGTTTGGAAGAGCCTACAAAGTTAGTAGTCTTGTTACAGGTAGAACAATCATTGTAAAGTGTTGAAGGCTTGCAACTTTTTTTTTGCAAATTATCAAGTTTGGTTTTTTTCTTGTTATCTTGGCAGTATTAATGTCATACATACTTCATAGGCAACAAGTTGTTCTTAATTTAGCTTTAATTACAGAGGATATTCACTTCATCCTATGAATAACTGACTATATTTTCACAAGGTACCTGTAGCTTGTATCTTAAGTTCTTTGCATTTTTCTACCATTTTTCCGTTTGTAAAGCACATACTGTAAGAGTATTTAAAAGTATTACAGCTGATGTCACACAGCTGAACCTCCTAGTCCAAATAGTTTTCTCTTTTTTTTTTTTTCCTATAATATTAGGATTGATTTGTTTCGAGGGTAGTCTTAATTGAGTCTGAAAGCCTGTTTCTTTTATTAACACTAATTCTTCTACTGTGAGATAAACGTGGATGGATACAATCGTGCAATGTAGCGATGATACCTTCTGTCGCTTGCTTGCTTTCCTTTTTCCTATTGCTGAGCAGCAGGAAGCAGGCTAACCAGCTCTTGTGCTGACTTTCTTGTGTCCTGCCTACTCCAGCAGTTTTCTCTGCTGGTTCTCCGAATTTAGGGGAAAACTCTGCTGATGCCAGCCATGTTGCATCTATCTTCTGTGGGAAACTGTTGTGAACTTTCCACCGCTCTCCATTTACTAGTATAAAGTGCTACTCTGTTCCTGTGATCAGACAGAGCAGGCAGTGTCCAGAAATGGCTTCCTAACATGTGCTTTTCTGTGAACATAAGAGCTGAACAGCAAACAGGATTTCTTATTTTGGTAGAAATAATGTTACTTTGGCTAATGAAAGCTGAAGATTCTTGTCTTGAATATAAGAACACTTTTTTGACAACAATAAGTGAAAAGCTAAGCTTTGTCCTTGGGTCAGTGTTGGTCCTGACATGTAGTAATGCTGTCTCTTTAGGACAGCTTTTGAAATTGTGTAGGTTTGCATGTGCCTTGTGCTGATAATAGCTATTCTTTTGTTAGAGCCTTCTGTTTCTAAAACATTTTTGGATATCGAATGAATTGCAGTTTTCTGCAGTTAGGCATGTAGAAGACAGACACTCATTGCTACTTTGAGGATATGTTTAGAATAAGTTTGGACTCTGGTGTACTGTTGCTCTTGCTTCAGTGTCCATTTTTATCATTGCATATAATCTTTCTGGTTTGAACTAACTCTTGATTCATTACTACAGCACTTTTTTTTCTTTTTTTTTTTTTCCCCCTCTTCATCAAAGAACTGTGTTACTTTCTGATATGGAAGAATATGTGTAAGATATAGTCAGGTAAGAGTGCATAAAAAGATTTCTGCCCCATTTCTTATGAAGTTGAAGCTAAGCTTTGAACGCCTCTTTGGCTGGACTATAGAAAAAATATTTTGTCAGCAATTCATTGAAAATTTGGAACTGTACTCCAGCTCTCGCTGAAGTACATACCACTAGGATTGCTTAAACGAATTTACATAGCCGCGGTATTTGCAACAGAGCCAGTACTCTGTTGTAAAGATTTGGGTCCCTTGCGCCACAGCTAACAAAGTGCACAGCAACCATTTTTAAGCGGCTGTTACGGCATTATATGGCTGAACCGAACTATTCTTCTTCCAAGAGATTATGCTCACTGCTGGTCTCAGAAATTACTGAAATTAAGATGTTCTTACTTTTAAAGTTAAAAATATTACTTAATTCCTGCCTACCTTCTTGTCTCTCAGCTGGAGCATCCAGTTTCATATTACACTGAATAAAAAGTGAATGCCACGTGTGTTTATTCATCTTGGCTGGGTTTTCTTGCTGTCAAATGCTGCTTTTATGTATTGGAAATCTTTCTTTGAATAACCAGATGAGTTTTGGTTATAGGCAAAACTTTTATTCATGATTTTATTCTCTTTTCTTTTATCATGCACTGAAATTTTGACTTAATGTTCCTCTAAGTTAGTATCTAATGCATTCCGCAAATAAACTCTTACGATGCTCAAGTTATTTTTGCAGTTGCTGCCATGAACTGTTAGGACAGAGAGAGGACATCCAGGACAAATATTTGGATTTAAGTCCATTGGCTGAACTGTAGTCTCTCCCATGGGGTCCTCACTACTCCATTCAGCTAGCAGATGTTGGGTTTTCTACTCTTCACCCATCACAGGAGGGCAAGCATATCTTTAAAATCTTTATTTGGTGAATTGGAAATTCCTCCTCTCTTCATGATACCACATTCATGTTTAGAGTCCAGTTTTCTGTCTCCAAGCTGGAAAACTCCTTAGGGAAAGTTCAGGAGGAACCACTTCCCAAGTGTGACACCTTTGGCTTCTCCCTCCAGTTTCACAGCAGTTCTGTAGGGAGATTTTTGTCACAGGAAATCTGACATTATTCTGAGCAGTTCCTCCGAGCTCATTTTTTAGAAGCA